CAACCGAGTGGGTCATCGCGCGAAAAACTGTCGAACGATCTTTGCGAGCCCTACGGCAGTAAAATGTTTCAAGTGTGGTCAGACTGGGCACAAAGCAGATGCATGTCGGAACGTAGTGAGTCAAACTCACCAGGTATCTTGTGTGCAAGCGGCACCGAAATCTGATAATAATGCCGTCACCGATGGATTCGTAGAGTTGAAGAATGGGGAGAAAATTCCTATTGTGGGGGCTGTAATGTCAAAACAGCCAACCGGTGTTACGAAAGGAATGCCAACGCTTCCTGGAAAGATTGCAGGCAAGAAGATTACGGTTCTAAGAGACACCGGTAGCTCCACGGTTATCGTGAGGAGAAATTTGGTACGGGAAAGAGAGTTGACAGGCAGAACGAAACCGGTTTGCCTAATTGACCGTACGGTCCGGATGCTTCCCGAAGCAGAAATTGAGGTTGAAACCCCGTACTTCAGCGGGAAGGTTACTGCGTTATGCATGACGACCCCCCTGTATGACCTTGTCATCGGAAACATCGACGGGGCGCGAGGGCCAAGTGATCCAGAATGTTTGGGAGAAGACCCGAAGATAGAGCCCTCGCCAACACAGCGGCCGCGAGATACAGTGGAGGAGCATCCCGTGACGGATCTCACTAGAGCCCAAGGTGAAGCCGCGGCGCAAGAGACAGCGAAGGAGAAGACGATCGTGTCCAATAAGTTCACGGGCCGAGCAACTGGACTTACGTCTGCACGACCTCAACCGACCGACAGTGTAAAGGAGACGGAGTTGGCCCGCCGGGCAAAAAGTAGAGGCATTATCAAGCGGGTAAATAAACAGACAGGACCCGTCGAATGTAATGACGCGTTAACGGTGTCGGAAGAGACAACGATGGCTGAGACGACGCCTCAGATATCGTCGTTGGAAAGGGCTCGCCGAAAAAGAACGTGGAAGCACAAGAAGAGATCGAGCGAGCACCGCAAAAAGGGGCGCAAGCGCTGTTCGAAGTACTCAAGATGGGTGCTGAGGTGGAATCAGAATGTGTTTGGCAGGGCTGAGTGACATATGTTGTGTTAATGTTCTTGTTATCCTGTGTCTCAAGTGTATGTCGAGTGAGTCAGTGTTCTGTGCGATGGTGTGATGTATAGTGTTGTATAATTGTTGGATAGACAGAACTTTGTACGTTTGTATTGTTTAGAATGTGTGATGAAGTGTTGTAGGCATGTACCTGTGGCTATATTTCATGTGTTGTGGAATTGAACTACAATGTACGATTGTATTGAGTGATATATTGTGAATGGGAAGTGTCATGAGCGACGGATTGTGTTACAGTCTGTGAGAATGTGTGGGGACTGTTCGCGCTCGTTTGTGTGGTTTTGAATATTATGAGATAATATTCTTAAAGTGGGGGGCAGTGTCACAGAACGAGCGCTAAACAAGAGCGCGCCGCCAAATCCTTGCGACAACGGGCGGCAGATACGCCGCGAGGTAAAAAGAAAAAAAAAAGAAAGCAAACATCCAGGGCTCCCGGGCGCGCGCTCTCCCCGCAGAAGCACGGCTTCGCAGACGATCCTCCTCACCCCACATCGGCGGCCCAGCAAGACCGCGGTTTTTCTAGAACGAAGGAGGCGGGGTCAGACCGAGTGAATCATCCTCGGGAGAGGGCAGTCGAACTGTCTCGTGCCTCTCCCCAGCCTTCGCTGCGCATCGCGCCGACGAAATGACGAGAAACATCTGGAAAGTCGCGCGCAAGGTATTTAACCGAGCAGCCGAGACGAGAAATCAGGAGAAGACGGAACGTTAGCGCCGAAGCGCGTAGGAATTCCGCCGTGTAGTCGGCGAAGGTTCTGCCCGTAGTGACAGAACAGGAGGAGACGGAAGTGAGCGCCAGAGTGCGTAGAGAGTCCGCCGTGTAGTCGGCGAAGTTTTGGTCCGTAGGGACGGCTCGAGCTACAGGCAAGAGCGTGGGTTTACCGCTATCGAGCGAAGACGCGGGGCAACAGCTGCGTGTGTGAAGCCGACGGATTTCCGGCGAAGAAGTTGAAGTTTAAGGAGTGGCCAATTGAAGACGGGAGGTTTCCTGGGAGAGAACTTCGAGAGCTGCGGAACGACAACAACGCTGGACTTTGAGTGAGTGATTCTCGGAAGAGTATCATTCAGACTTTTGTTCCAAGGACTTTGGACTGAATAGGTTTTATATCTCTTTAGTCTTTAAGTGTCTTGGTTGTTCAATGCATGCGACTGCATTGTAGTGCGTATTGTTGTCTGTGTCCGTTGTTTCAAGTGTGGTTGATTGTACTGTGTAGTACATTGTCTGTTTGGTGACGTATTGTATGTAACTATTGTGGAGTGTGCATACGTGTGTATTGTTTTTGATCTGCCGTTAATGAGAATATAATTTTGTTTGTTTATCAACTCTCGGCTCTGTCTTGTTCTTTGGGCCACAGCCGGCGTCCGCTGGTGCACCAATAAGGACCACTTCTAAATTGTCCACGCTTTCGTGGTGCGGTTCGGGGGGCCGATACTTCGGCTCTTGGAATTAGCCCGGCGATCGCCTCCCTAATAAACGGGACAGGTGTGACAATGACATACTTTCAGAACGGGAATAGCGTTGAGATTATTGACGTAACCATTTAAGAATGAAGACCGCGAATATTCAGTTTGTTAATGATTAATTACGCCAAGCTTCAGCGATGAAAAATCGGCGCGCAGCGTGCTTGACTTTTTATGTTGGGGCGCTGGAGCACGAAATTGCTGGCCGCTGCCGCCGCTGTTCCAGTGGTTGGTGCGTGGCGAGCATGGCTGGGCTCCGCTACCGATGTGCAAGATTCACAGTTCTGAGGAGCCAGCGGTCGATGTGATTTGTTGGTTGTGACGAAACACATTACAGCTTCTTCGCTTTCATATGTCCGCTAGCGCGATGGTCTTGCCCGCCAAGTTCGGGGCAAAGTTAAGCCTAGCCATCTCTTTCAGGGAAAATCGCCGCTGCGATGTGCATGACTGAAGTGCCCAATGTTTCAAAGTACGACATGCTCGATCGCGAGTAGAAAGATCTGTCCCGCGGTAGTCTTTGTCACAAGGCCCAAAGCGGTGATAGGAAGAACCTTCTTGCCAACGAGTCAACGCTATGAATATTGGTTTGTGACAAATGCGGCATGCCATCGTTATCTTAAGACTGAACTTCATCTTGCAGCTGCCTTAACAACCTGTGAACACGGAACGAGCGCGAAAACGTCACTAAGTAGTGCAATTTTAGACAGCCGCAGCCGCACATCGTACAAGAAGCAGACAGCACTATTCCGGAGGCATATCTGGAACGAGCATCAGACTAGCGAGGTATATAGAGCAATATGACAAAAGCAGCCAATCGGAATCCCCCAAGCGAATTTCAAACATCCGCTTTTTGAACACAGAATGCTCTTTAAAAAATACATTTACGGCAAGCCCAAAATGGTAGTGGGTAGCTGTGCCATCGCGAAGCTATAAATGTTTGAAAAACGACATTTTTTTTATGACTTCCATGATGATTTTCATTACTTCGGCAAGCGCAAAAAACTTTCTACAGCACTTCTATGTATTTTTCAGCGAAGATATTTTGGAATCAGAAAAAAGGCTAAGGAGAAAAAGGTGCCGCCTAAAATACATGGCTGGTATGTTCCCTCAAAAGAGCGGTGACGTCAATTTGATCCATGTTGCGTTTCTTGCTTCAACGTGTAGTTACTGACCCCTATTTACGATTAACTACGAATAATGTAATACAGGGACAAAATAATACATGTATTATCGATCAGTACGACCAATATCTAATCCATTAAAAATGGATTCAAAGCTCGTCAATTTTCAGTGCTGCCAAGTGGTCAACTCCCACGGTCCCGCCTCGTCTGATCACCTGGCTATACGAAATGGGGATGCGACCTTTAGTTGACATTTCATGTGCTCGGCACGCACGTGTATAGGCATGTCTTTGCCACCGCCATTGTCGTTGTTGCCGTGATCAGCGTCCACAAGCGACAATGAAAATACTGAGGAATATGGAATCGTGGCAATTCGCGGCATGGCAACTAAATTTCGGTTCAATCCTTCTGTGAGCAGTTATTCTAAAATCTATGCTCAACTGAGCAGCGACGAGACAACTGGAGAGGCACACTTGTGCCATGCTAGCTTGTAAGGCATATGAACGCTGCCTGCGTGGTACTTATTGGTGGTGACCATAGCTTCAAATTATCACATTCGGGATCACGACAAATCACTCGAAGCGGCGCAATGAAGGTGCAGCATTCAGACGAACGTTCTGCACGAACCAAGCAAGACAAAGCAAGTGAAGCCAATGCCAGGCATGCAGCTAGGCGTCGCCGCCAGATGGTACCACTTGTAGACACCGTCATGACAATTCTAAAATTGTTGATGTCATTGCTGCTCACTCATCGTCACCGGGCCCCAGAGGAGTCACCTTGGAGCTTGTCGAACTCGTCATAATAATGTCAATGTCTCATGACTGAGAACGCGCCGATGATCCTTGGATGCTCTTTTCGCTCGAAATAGAATAACTTCTACGCAATGTACACAATTCATACTTCGCTAAAAAAACTCATGCATACCAAGCTGTTGAATGAACGCCACATCTCGAGTTTGAAATGTGGTGTCACTGCTCCTTTAACCACAAAGTTTTACTAAACTGTTTAACCTCTCTATCTTCCCTTTAAAAATATTGCTTACAATTAGAAATACTATGTGTTGTGGTGTTTACTTATTAGTACTTATCACCATTACTATAATTTTCAAAATTCACTTCTCTTCTTTTGTAGCAGTGTGCCACCAAAGTGGCGCTTCGTGGGAAATGTTCACACGCTCAAAGTGACATTGAACTTGCCAGTGTGGCAGAGGTATAACCTGCCACTCATGTGCACTATACTCACTGAAAAAAGTACTTCGCTCACATTGAATTAACACTGTGGTGACTCTCACAGCTGCAGGTCTTTTGCTCGTGTGTAAAACCTTGACCATGTGCTTGCAGGCTAGGTCCATTCGAGATGAGTAATGACTTGTGGGCATCACTTGAGGAGAGCTTGGGGCCCGAGTTACAACCCAGTGACCCTGACAGTGACGACAACGATGACTGGGAAGATGTCACAGAAGACTCGCCCAAGGCTGACACGCAGGTGGGCTTGGTCGCATAACAGTTCAATTGCAATGCATTTCTTAGCGAACTTTGGCAACTTTGAGTGCATCTGCCTGCCTGCCTGCCTGCCTGCCTGCCCGCCCGCCCGCCCGCCCGCCTGCCTGCCTGCCTGCCTGCCTGTTTATTTATTTATTTATTTATTTGTCTGTCTGTGTCTGTCTGTCTATATCTATCTATCTATCTATCCATCCATCTATCTATCTATCTAGCCGCCTATGACCTTTAGCTCTTCTGGCCGTTTCAATAATGGTATTGATACCAAAATTGGTATGGCATAACATGACTGTTTGACAAGCATAAGGGACTAGTCATAACATGATAATCATGACATGTATGTCATGAATGTCTTGAATTATATTTTTACGGTTTTTCTTCTCTTATGGTAGTTTCCTTCACATGACATATTGTAAAACTGGTATTGTATGACATGACTGCAGGACAAACATAAGTGACAGAGCCTAACATAGAAATCATGACATGCTGTCATGCAAGTCATGACTTAGCACCATGCCCATGGTGCGCTTGCGGTCATTTCGCTAGTTTCACATATACTAAATATGATATTACGAGACGTGAATGAATGATGAAGCTAATTGACTTGTCAAAACATGATAATCTTGAGATGCGTGTTATGTAATAACATGACCACATGCCACGCTCACGATACGCTCACGGCCGTTTCGCTAGATGCACATATTTCAAATTTGGTATTACGTGACAGGAACGGATTATGAAGGTAAATGACACGTCCAAACATGATAATCATGACATGCGTGTAATTAAAGACATGACCACATGCTACGCTCATAGCACGCTTGTGGCCTTTTACTAGTTCTACATATACCAAATTTAGTATTGCGTGACGTGAGTGGACGACGAATGTGAGATGTCCAAACATGATAACCATGATATGTGTGTTATGTAAAACATGACTGCATGATACGCTCATAGTTCGCTCACGGCCGTTTCGCTCGCTCGACATATACCAAATTTGGTATTACGCGACGTGAATAGACGACGAAGGTAATTAACACGTTTGGATATGATAATCATGACATGGCTGTCATGTAAACCTGATTACATGTACACTCATAGTGCACTCGCCGCCATTTTACATGCTTCACATATTCCAAATTTGGCTTTACGTGACGTGATTGAATGACAAAAGTAAAGGACACATTTGAACATGATAATTATAACATGCGTGTCATTTGAAACATGACTACATGCTATGCTCATCGCACGCTAGCGTCCGTTTTGCTAGCTTTACATATACCAAATTTGGTGTGACGTCAATGGATGTGTAAGGTATATGACTAGAGCAAGCATGATAATCATGACATGTGCTGTATGGAAGAACATGACAACATACCATGCTCATGATGCGCTCGCGGCCGTTTCACTAACTTCACATTTACCAAATTTGGTATCACGTGATGTGAGCAGACGACGAAGGTAAATGACACGCCTAAACATAATAATCATGACGTGGAAGTCATGTACGGCATAATTTACGTCTGCCTCGTACCATTGTGCTGATTTCAGAGTGACATATCAACCTTCTTCATTTGTGCTTCGCATATCGTCGGTTCCTACTGTACATGGAAAGTGCCAATTTTTCTATTCATCAACACTCTCTGCTGTGCTAATTGCACCAAAGAGTTCAAACCTGCTACATTTTGGTATATATCTTGTAGTTTGCACTAAGCATGTGCGAAGACATCATTTTTGTGGCTTTTTAGAGAAAAGCATTATGACAGGCACTCGATGTAACTATCTGATCGATCTAAAGTTTTAGTATCGTGGTCAATATTTTCCGGCAGTCTTCACTTCATGCTTATGCTCAGCTACAATTAAAGAAAGCAAAAGAGACAGCCCATGTGACATAAGTGTGGCAGCAGAATGCCTCTGCAACTGAGCAAATTGTCTCGCTCATGCCCCCCCAAGACAAAATTTTACAGACGCTTATACCTTGCCACTGGTGTTCAAAGTAAGCTCACACTAAAGCCAAAGCCTGGAACGTAGTCTGCCCAGTCGCACTTCCACACTTAGTACCTCACATTGCCCGAACAGTGTGAATGACACGTCTAAATTCATTGCATTATTAGCAGCGAGGCAGGCCGCTATGTTGACCTGAAAGCTAACTGTGACTTGAGACCTGACCGGAGACTGTGAGATACTGTCAAAGCAGTGCCAAGTATAAATCCTCCTGTAGTCGAGCTGATGGGTTTCCTTGTGGCTGAGACGGTGCTAGGAGATATGGCCTTGTAGTAGAAGCGGGCAGTTCTTGCAGCTGGTTCCTGTAGTTGGATGGCTGTATCCTCATGAGCAGCAGCGGCCAGTAGGATGCCGCTGATAAATATTGGAATGGCAGCAATTGCCACCATAACCATAACTCTGGGCAGTGTTTCAGGCAGCTAAACTGAATTTCTAGTAGTTGTCTAGAAGGCAAGGTTTCTCGCTGGTTGTTAGGTTGAAGCTGGCCGTATCTTGTACCGCCTCCGTGAAACTCTGTGTCCTTTCCCGACATCTTGGGAGTTGTGGGTGCCTTTAACGTAAGACGCTGCTAAGCTTTATTTATTTATTTATTTGATACTGTCAACCTCATGCTTGGGGTCATTAGAGAGAGGTAGTCGGATGATGCATATCATTCACACAAAACAAAGAGAAAAAAAGCAGTCCATAGCACATGGGAATAATATCAACAACCAGCATCAGAAAATTAGAAACAAACTACAGTCATTATGTAGACAAAAATCGACAAATAATTGCTCGTGCTGGTAGTTAGCTTGCATCACTACACAGAAAATAGTCCAAGGCATCTTCAAAATCGGCTGATGTTGCATGTTGTACAACACTTGGTAAACTACACTCAAGCCTCCTTATAACGTAACAGGATATAACGAAATGATGGATATAACAGTGTTAATGAAATTCCCCTTGAAAGCTCCATTGAGAACCGTGCATTTTAAACCTCATTGTAACGAAGTAAAATTGACCGGGCAAATGGGTGTAACAAACTAAATTAGTCTACGAAATATTCTATCAAAAAAAAAAATCGACCGTAATGTGTTAAGTATATCGTTTTCTGCAGACTTTGACGCTCGTTCGGCGCGGCTCTTTCGAAACCCCCCCCCAACCTTACAGCCACACCCCGCATGGCTGAGAGAGCCGTCCTCCTTCGCACAGTCAGCGGAGAGGATTGAGGAAGCGCTGCAGTGGGTCACATGACCGAAAAGCGGCGCCGCCGTGCAAAGCGATTTCTCTCTCTCACCTATAAGAACACACGATGGGGAAGCTTCAGAAGACTTACATTTATTCACAAATCAGAGGACATCCGTCATTAATTGAAGTAATCTGTGATGCGTGTCTGCACACGTTTGCCTTGCAGCAAGTCAATCAATTTTGCACATCAATCAAGTCAATCGATTGTGGCTCCCCTTCTAACAAGGTTTAAGTGTATTCCACATTATTAATGGGTAAGGAAAAAAAGGAGTGTCAGAAACCATTCATACATGTAAAATAAGGCCAAACAGACTTAGTGCTATTAGGATGACCACATCGCCTTCCTGGAGGCTCAAGATATTGCCACAACATAGTGCCTGCATTCAAACAACGCGCCCATCACCACGCGCACAGGGACATACATGCGCGCCGTCTAGTGTTGCGCAGAGACGATGATGATAGCACGAGAACCCAGCTGGCCCCTGCTGATGTGCGCTACGTGCTTGGGAGTCTTCTTGAAGAAGTAGAAGAAGAAGACATCTTGGCGTTCTGCTGTAACGTGCTACGACCATAGTCCCTTCGAGTTGTGGGCACAGGTTCGCCCTTTAACAAATACGTTTTATTATACCCCTAGTCCTTCAACATCGTTACAATATAAGTCCTTGTTTTTTTTTTTTGTATGTCCATTTTATGATCTTAAAAAGAAACTTGAGTCGATGTTTGCGCCTGCGATACCTCGATAACTCAAGCTCACAAGATTTTAACAAAGCCGGGACAGAATGTGTGTGTCGTCATTCACTGCATATGAAATGGACTGCTAATTTTTGAATTATTTCAATTTTGGCACTCAAGACTTTCTGATAAGGTGACCTACACACTACTAGTGTACTCTAAGACTGGTTGTACGAATGTTTTGTAAGCCATTAGCTTTACATATGGCGTGGCATGTTCAAGTTTCTCTCTTAATGAAATACAGTTTTGTGTTTGCCTTTAAACAGATGCCATCTGGTTCAAAAGCACGGCTCAGGCGAGTTTGTTATTCATGAACTTAGCTTGTATTAGCACAGCACATATGAAAAGGAAAAGGGAAAGATAAACAGAAGTCAAGAACCGTAGATGCTACCTTTGTTGACATCTGTGTCGTTTTTTCTTTTTTCTTTTTCATACCCGCACTTACCCTGAGAACCTAACTTCTTTGTTTTTAAGATATCATGATGATAACTTTCAGGGTATGTTTACTATAATAAATATTGTTGTCTTACTATAGTTTATTTCCATGTCCCATTTTTTACACCACGTATCTAAAGCCTCTAGATGGTTGTTCAGATTAATTTGGTCACTTTCACAAGTTACTCGGCAATAAATTAAGCAGTCATCTCCAAAAAGTTTCATAATAATAGGAGTCCTAAATATTGAAGTGATATCATTAATAAATATAAAAAAAAATCAGTCCTAAAACCGACCCTTCGGGAACACCTGCAAACACTGGTAGTGGTTCTGAAGTGAAGCTTTCAATTCTTAGAGCCTGTTGTCGCGCATATAAATACAGTTAAACCTCGTTATAATGAAATTGGAGGGCTGCCGCTATTTGCTCGTTATAACCAATATTTCATTATAGCTGTAGCGGGCATTTACTGCAAATATTATGCACTGTTATTACCCCAAAAAAAATAGCGGGCGAAATAGCATCCCGCCGCACGGTGGTATGCAACAAAATAACCGCATTCCCAAATAACAAGGAAAAAGTCATGCACC